TTTCTAGTTGCCCAGGGAGACAGGTTGCTCTAAGATGGAAGCCTTGCTGCAAATGATTTGGGCCAAAGGCCCACTGCCTGGTTATTGAATCAGATGAAAATTTTCCACCTCCAATTTTCTTGTATGTTTCCTTTCTTCTCCCTACAAGTGTTTTGTAGTGTTTTGAGGCCCACTCAAGGACCCCACTGCCCATGGAAAAAATACTCAGGAATCTTCTATAGCCCAACTACATAAGCCTAAATAGATGGAAAATGTTCAGAGCATGAGGGAATTTTGTCTTTCCTTTAAAGGATATTGACTTACCCACCTGCTGCATGATGGGTTTCATTCCTTGTGGCAGTATTTACCTAATACTGTAATGCAACAATCCCCGATTATGATGAAGACAGAAGAGGGAGAGCATGGAAACACTAAAACTAGAACCTTTTTAGAAGAAACCATTAAAAAAAAAAAAAAAAGCTGAGACTCGGTTGAAGGTTCCTGCTTGTAATATTTATCAAGGACTGACCTAAGAAAACAAGAAGTGCTGTAGTTATCAGCAATTTGCCTTCTCTCAAGGTCAACAGAAGGGCTAGTCAGCTAACACGGCTGACAGGAAGGTATTGGGTGTGCTGTGATAAAGTATGTATCTGAACCATGGCAAAAAGCCCATGCTTAGTGCCACATCAGTTAATTCAGGTGTTATACCCAGTGAAAATATATCGCCAGTGACACTGACGTTCCAGCTACACAACTTACAGCCCTGGACACAGATGGTCTCTCACTTGAAGATCATGACATCAGGAGGGAAAGGATGACATGAGGCAGGATGGCCAACTATTGACAAGCTGCAGGAACAACATATGCCTTTCTATAATGGTAACGGATCGGCATGGACTTGAGATGAGAAGAATGAGTCCAAATGCTGAAACGTATTAGCTACGTAACCTTGAACAAGTCATTTAGCCTCTCTGACTCTGTTTCCTCACCTAAAAAATGAAGACATCATCACCAGACCTGTCAGTCAGACTATGACTGAATAGAGCTTTCGATAAATATCAGCTCCTATCATCACCACCCTAATGACTACCATCTCATCAGCAGTGGAAAAGGTATGTGTCCAGTAGGAAACAAGAAAACATACCCAAGAGAGGGAAATGTCAAAGATGCACTGTAATCATTAAAATATTCAGGTTTAGAAGGCACAGGAATGTAACTCTCTCTACTTCTCCCACCCAAGAAAGGAGTCTTAAAATAATTCATTGGTGAGGCTTCAACACATTTTGGGGGAAGAAGCGTGTCCTGGGTAGTTGTATAGTAATGGCATCTCTAGGTGTTTTAATCTAAAGTGATTCTGCCCTGGGCACCTGGGTGGCTCAGTTGGTTAAGCGACTGCCTTCGGCTCAGGTCATGATCCTGGAGTCCCGGGATCGAGTCCCGCATCGGGCTCCCTGCTCAGCAGGGAGTCTGCTTCTCCCTCTGACCCTCTCCCCTCTCATGCTCTCTCTCACTCTCTCTCTCTTAAATAAATAAAAATCTTTAAAAAAAAAATTAAAAAAATAAAGTGATTCTGCCCTCCCCACAATAACTATATTTGTATCTCTATCTATATGTGTATTTCTACTGATTGATCTATCATCTATCTAGACTGTTTCAAAGTTAAGTTGCAGACACGTCACCCTAAATATTTCAATATGTTGCTCCTATAAGCAAGGATATTGTTTTGTAGAACCACAATGCCACTACCATACTCAAGAAATTAACACTGACTTATTATTGAATATATAGCTCATATTCAAATTTCTCTAACCTTGCCCCAAATATTTAATATGTTTTCTTTTTAAATCCAGAATCCAATCAGGACTCCTACCTTCTTCTCCAATGTTATTTCCCAATATTTGTTCCTTCCCACATTGATGATTCACTTTAACGATTTTATTCTGTATCATGTTAAAATTTCCCTCCTCAGAAATGACAACATTTCTCTACTATCACCCCTCTTCCAAATCTCTATTAGCATACCTTTAAAGACTTAACTCAAAGGCTAACCATTCCATAAACATGTTTCCATTCCTGCCTGGGGATGTCTATTCTCCTATTTGTGAATTCTCAAAGAACTGTGGCTGAACTTCGACTAAGTCACTTAGTTACTCTCAGGCTTGTGCGAGGATTAAACACTATTCCTCTGTATATATTCTCTATTAGACTATAGGCACCTTTTTAAAGGTAAGATCCATGTCTGCCTATAGCCATATGGATCACTTAGCAGAGTGGTTTGCACATTATAGGCACTTGGTAGATATTTTCCACCTAAAGTATATTTTCCTTAAGTAATCCTGGCCTCAATTCATTTTATTCATTCTATATACTCAGAAGAAAATATTCTTCTTCTATTTTCTGTGTATCCAAAGCTGATCTCCTCCATAAAACCTTTCCTAATTATCCAGCCTAAACTTTTGGAGGTGATGGATATGTTTATTACCGGGATTGTGGTGACAGAAACACAAATGTATACACATGTCCAAACCCACCAAGTTATGGACACTGATTATGTGCATTCGATTTCTGTATATCTCAATAAAGCTGGGGAAAAATTTTAGAAGAAAAAAATATAGAGTGGAGTCTGGATTCTAATCAATGTAATTTTTTTTTTCTAATCAATGTAATTTATTAGCTGTTGATGTTGGGCACATTACTTAACACTTCAGTGCTTCAATTTCTTAATATGGAAATAATAATAGCATTTACAGGGTTTTATATTTTCTCTAAGGATGAAATGAGTTAATTCCTATAAAGTAAATAAAATAGTGATGCCATATTGTAAGTACTCAATAAACATTAATTCCACATTCTCCCTCATGGTTCATAATCCTTATTTGGCAATGATTATTTACCAATGGTGACTTATTTTCTATTTTCGTGAGGAACTTAAATTTAAATCAGGTATTATTAATGGATTTTTAATAGGCATATCTTATTTTCTTAAATAAAGCAGGGGATAACTCTGATCTTTGAGGATATTCTATATGCCAACAACTCTGCTAAGTGCTTTCTATAAGTATTTTACCCAATACTCAAAATAACAGTGTGAGTTAAAGATTATTTCCATACTACAGATAAAGCAAAACAAAAACAAAGATTGAGAGAGCGCTGGCAACTGAGATAGTTCTTGAAGGCAAAGATAATATTTAATTTATATCTGTTTCCCAGAAGGCTTAACACATATTCATTAACACAATTACTATCTATGTTCAATTTTCTTTATTGCTATGTATTTAGTTGCTATGATATTTGAGGTATTTATTCTTGTTATATTAGTTTGCTTTTTATTTTTAATATACTTTAGTACAGTAACCTTATTTTTTGCTTTTAACATGATCTTTTAAAAAGTTTACCTAAGATTCCAATATAAAACTTTCTCCCACATCAATAACAAGAGCATGATACACTTTTAGTATATCTTAATACAACCAGAGACTTTTAAAAAATATTCTCCATGCATTTGTCCTATCAATTTGTGTTTAGCTTTTAGCTTTGTTGTATTTTGTTGGGACTAATGCTATTTCTATGGGAACTTACTAGGGTTGAAAGAAATTCTAGAAAACATTTGCTCTACACTTTTGATTTACCAAGGTGGGAAATGGGGCTCAAGCAGATGGGGAACATTTCACTAATTCTTAGCCAGTCAAAGGCACAGAAAGAACCAGAACGAGAATTCTTTTTTCCCCCACTGTTGACGTATACCCATATACAAATCAATGCCATGGTTTTCATATCCTATCCCATTCCATCTATGGTGTGGCTTTGGACCAGTGCCTTCAGTTCACCTGTTATTACACATTCCCAAACAGGGAGCAAGGGGAAGACATGAAAACACTAAATATTTGAAGAAGTGAAAGCTCTGTGTAGTGTTTCCACCTCTATGTCTTTGCTCCTCCTCCCTCCCCCCCCCAAATACAATCTCCTTTCTCTACATGTCCTTAAAGTGATGCTACTCAAACTGGGGTCCATGGATGGGGATCTAAGAAATGTCTATCACCCTGCAATGAGACAGAGTACAAAAACAGAGAGGGAGTATTTAGGAAAGAAGGTAACACTTCAATAGGGTAATTTATTCCTGTTAAATCTCATAATGGTGAAACTTGGCCTTCCATTTTGTATTCTCTTTATTTCATTTTCTTAGTAATTAATTTTAATTGTGCTCTATACACAAATTTTGGCCTCCCAACAGATTGAGGAGGAAATAGTTTTTATCACAGAAAATTTGGGAGGCGCTGATTTAAAAGGCCCAGGTTCAGGTGCCACCAGTTTCTTTATAAAGCCTTCCTGATGCTCCTGATGAACAGAGCTTTTAAATTTTATAATATCTCACATAAGCCTCTCTTATGCCTCTTACAGCTTTCTACCAAGATTAGTAATTATTTATGTGTTTTTTCTTATTTCTTCTGAGTAATTACAACCTCCCTGAGGACAGGTTATGTATCCGTAACACCTCACAGTTAACATATAGTTCATAAATTCACATTACCCTCATGGACTGGATGGAATAACCATTCATAATTATTCACAGATTTGGAGGAGAGAATGTTGAAAAAAATACAACAGGAACATCTTTTCCCAAACTCGCACCGGGGAATAACAGAGAGTGCAGAATTTAGACCCTATTCACTTCCACATTTTGTATATAAATATTTAGACCAGTGAGGAACCTGAACACATACAGAAACCCTATTTCTGCCTAAGGAGAAGCTTTTAGGTTGTCAGAAGTTTGTTTTAAAATCACATTTGTATCTCAAGAAACTGCACAGTACCCTTGCACTTTCAGTATGAGCTAAACAGATAGCACAATGACGGCGGTCTCACAAACCAATTTCCAGAACACTCCGTAGTGTGCAGATGCACACCAACTCCAATGCACCCAGCTTCAAATCCTTTACCAGTGGAGCTGATAATACTCTTAATTAATAATTAAGAAAAACAGAAGGCATTTACTTCAGAAACCAGCTCTAGCCCCCACTCACCAAAGTATTCATCAGCAGGTGGATTTTCCATATCATACAGCATCTTCTTGGTCAGGTGTTCGAGCTCATCTTCAGGGCGGAATGAGCTGGGGACAGCTGGAGGCCCCATGGAACCTGTTTGTCCACCCTGAAAGGCAGAAGACACATAGTTCTTTAAGTACAGTCTAGACAATCAAGACAATCACATGGTATTTGCATTGTAGGCAAAAAAGTACTGGACATGGCTATTAAGAGATCTGGGGTTTACAATCAGTTTTATCAGTTCTTCAGGGTCTGACCTGAGACACACCATCTTACAGGATCCACTTGTCTTATCGAGATGAGTCATCTATTGGGCTTTAGAAATCCATGTTTACAACAGTAGGGATTCATTCCATTCAACAATTACTAAGCAGTCACTATGTACCAGTTGTATATTTATAAAAACAAGATATGTAGATTCCCCCCCCCTCCGACTTAAGGAGTTTATGGTCAAGTGAGAGATTCAGGTCCTTCAATAATTAAAGATAAAGCAACTACAGAAAGTACACAACCAGGGTACATAAAGGGACCTCTCCTGTAGCCTAAAAGGAAGAATTCCAGGGGAGAGGCAGGTACAGACTAGGACTTACTCAGCTGAAGGGCAGGAAACTTACAGGTGGAAGTTTTTTACATTCAGGTGAGAAAAAGGCCACGTGGCATAGGGGCTCCTGACAGTTGAATATTTCTGCACTATGTATAAAACTTGAGGTAGGAGATGAGATGGGTCTTATGGGGCACAGGGGTGCAGAAAGTGAATGACCCTGTGTTCCAGTTAAGGAGGTTGAGTAGCTTCTCCCCGTAGGACTACAAACAGCCACATACCAAATGGGGAAGGTACATCAATAGTATTGATACTGGATTGGTGTTTAAATAGGTGGGTGAGCCAGAATTATAGCAATGTCAGGGAAGCAAGTGTCAGGGGAAAGATTACTTGAGATGTTCAACCAAGAATCTGAAGTATGTAGAGGAAGAAGGAAGGCCAGATGCCAGATGTAAAATAGCTTTGCACTATGTAAATGAAAGGGAACTTATTATTGTATTTCCCTTTGCCTATATTATAGCTTTGCCCATTTCCAATATCACACCCCAGTATCTTTATTCAAAGTGCTTGTAACAGAGGAAAACTTACAAAAAGCTAAGAATGACACCCACAAGAGCTGATGGGGGGAGCTGAGACTGTGAGAATGTTCCTCCCGTGATGCTTATGTATTCTCAAGGTGTTGATCAAGAGGCTCTCCTTTCATGAACAGTTTACAAGAATCAGTTCAACAAAACCTGAAGCTGCATATTCATTCACCTGTTATCCTCACTATAGCAAATGTGTTCTTGGATGTGAAAATCCTGTAAAGTATAAATCCCTGTACAAATGTTTTATCCTTACTACCAACATTTATTTCAACCACTCCAAGATGCATATTAATTATTTGTGTGATGTCTGAGGCATAAAACGCCTTCTACACATATGTGACGTTGTTAATTGGCACCTACTTTGGACTTTCTCTGTAGTTATTTTCCAATTTTTTAGGATTTTAAAAAATGGATAGAAAGTTGGAACACAGACATACAGAAGGCCAAAAAAGGTCAAGAACTTTTTATGTTGGTTATTAGTCTTACCCTGGGATTTTATTTCATTGTTGGGCAGTTTGGATTGGAGAATGGACAGCAGTGAGCAAACTATGACATGTGGCTAGCGTGGCAAAGACAAAAAATAGAGCTGCATGCCGAAATCTCTTATTCATTTGTGAGATAAGGAAATCTGACACCCAAAAAGATCAGTGCAGAGCTAGTTATGATAAACCCAGCACAGGGGCCCATCCTAGACTCATTTATTCAACAAACATTAAATGTTCAATGGAAGGCCTCCCCTAAGGTGCAAATAACATTTGAACATTGGATGAGTGATTTGCTAGTAATATTAAATATTCAATGGCACAGATGTTATCCACTTCTAGGAAAATTTTGCAGAAATAATCATAAAATTATACGACCAAGGCCAGTCACAGGAACTATATGTGGAAAAAGAAGGAACCAAAAGTAACAGTGTAACTATCTGTCCATGGGTAAGAGGTCACTTAAATGGACAATGACAGATGCATACAATGGAATGTGAACAGGTTTTAAAAGAACATTATAAATCTATCTGTATAAGTATGAAAAAAGATGGTGTAGCCATGCTTGTCAAAGGAACAGATCCAGTGATAGGATGGGAAATCTAAATGATGGCCCCAGTTTTGAAAAGTAAGTACAGTTTATTTATCTACTGTTCTCTATATAGGTAGGGAAAAGAGTCTGAAAGGACATAGACTCCTGTGTTAAAGGGGATCATCTCTGGGTTTGGAATCCTGGCGGCCTTTTAATTTCTAAGTTTGTGTTTCTTTTACAGTATGTAATTCGACTTCTGCAATCCATGAAATACAACTTTTCAAATGCAATGAATTCAAGTGATAAAGATAGGCTGGAGACTAGCAAAGCCCTGGAATGGGCTAACCCAGGTCAAGGGCGAGCTCTCAGAGGAGCCAAAGGCTGAAGGTGGGACACAGTTGGGTGTGAGTGGGGAAAAATGCAAGTGGTTCTGTGTTTAAAACTGAAGAGGTGAGAGAAAGGAAGGGCCAGCTCACAACTGCCACGCCATCCTGGGCACTTCAGTCTCTTCTAGGGGCCACGGGCTCTAGGCCCTGTGTGAGACCACAGGCCACTCTGGAAATCGGATGCACTCAACTCCCTTTTGGCAGAGACTGGCATTCATAAAAAGACACACCAACTTCACTTACAATTTCAGGAAGCTCACAGGCTACAGGGAACATATCTAAAGACCCTCAGGTAGGAACGTCCAGGCAACAGAAACCTCAGTGGGGATTTTCAGCAGGGAGGGGAGCTCATCAGATTAGAAAGGTCTCTCTGGAGTGGAGGGAGGGTGGGAGAGCTATGAGCCTGGGATGAGGTGGCGAGGGGCGAAGCTTACCCTAAAACATTTGTGGCCAGAGAGTGAAGGGACATAGTGTGTGGCAGTGGCACGAGAGTTGGAGACAGAGTTTAACTCTGGCAATGGCTTGATGGACCTCGGACCTTAGAGGACCTTGGGAACTCTTTGTCACTTCAGATTTCCTTCTGTAAAATGGGCTTGTCAACACCACCTCACAGTCTCTGTGAGGATTAAAATTAAATTGCGGGGCACCTGGGTGGCTCAGTATGTTACACGTTTGACTCTCAATTTCAGCTCAGATCATGATCTCAGGGTTTTGAGATCAAGCCCTGAGTTGGGCTCCATGCTCAGCAGGAAGTCTGCTTGAGGTTCTCTCTCTCCCACTCCCTCTGCCTCTCCCCGTGTGATGCTCTCGTTCTCTCTCTAAAATAAATAAATAAATAAATAAATATTAAAAAAAAAAAATCAGAGAGCTTGCATCTCATGCTGTAGAGAGCTTAACTGCTTTCTCAAACCATGGTAACAAAGGGACTCTCTTTGGATGCCCAACCCACCTCTGAGGGAGGGGATAATCCCAGTTCACGTGACAGAACTGAAGACAAGGATGGAAAAATGACCTCCATCTTGTTTTCTAGGCTTGCAATAAGAAGAGAACTTAAGCCCCAAATAGGCTGTCATCTAACTCCAAATGCCATGCATTTTTCCGACCAAACACTGCTTCCCATGGAGAAAGTGGAGACATGTATGAAATATTACCTGTAGTAGTAATGACATTGGCTGTTTTAATTTAAATCAACAACTATTAAGGAAACTCTGATCATTCCTGGTCCTAGTATTAGGGCAGACCCTCAGGGAGTGGTCACGGCTTATCATGGTCTGGGCCTCCTGCATCTGCTTCCCTTTTAACATCAAGAAAGGCAGCAAGAAGGCCAGCCAGGGGCGTCCTCGGCCAGCAATTTAGATTCTACCCTTAGCACTTGCATTACAAGTAGAGGTCCTTCTGTCAAAGTATTTACCCTGTCAGGACTTCACAGATTTTAAGACAAATATATCATTCCTCTTATTCTCCAAATACTTCCTATTTGCTTGCGATACGGTTTCTGAAATAACATATTTGGAAAGGTGTTTTCCTTTTCTTTTACATTCTAATCCCATATAAATGCTAGCCTTGGATTCCTGGCTTTTCTTATGAGGAAGGACCCCCAAGAGAACATCTCTCCCAGAGTCTGTGAACGTTATTTGGCCATAGAACGCCCCCTGGTCTCTGCCCCCAAACAGTGCACAAAACTGAACATCCATGGAAAACATATTGCTAAAAACACAGGGTCCTCAGTGTCTGCATGTCCCTCACATGAAGGAAGATGCAGCCCAGGCCTTTCTTTGAGGTTCAAGTCCTTTAAGTACTTTAGGGCTTTTCTCCCTGGGGTGAAGAGACCCCTCTTCATTTCTCTTTCTCAGGAGTGTTAGGGACTCTACACGTCCTAAGAAAAGGCAGGCAACTGTCCAATGTATCTTTTAAACAAGCAGCTTCCAGTATTGTGTCTGGGTAATAGAACATGATTGAAAATTTGTGGGGTGGGGCCGGGAAGGGATTTGTTACTTTTTTTTGTTTTCTATCTCTTCAAACACAGAGATGTGCACAGGATCAGCAGTATAGCTACTGTGGCATCCTAATAATTCCTTGCATTTCTGTGATGCTTTGCAGGGTGCCTGTTTTCACACCCCCATAATCCAAATGTTTATGCAACAGCCCCGTGTAATAAGTAATCCTCCTTTAGGATGAGCAAGGTGAGGCCCAGAGAGGGAAAGTGAGCAGCCTTCAGGGCGTCTAGGACCAGCCCTGAAAATCAGTGGTGGAGTCGTGACTGCCACCACTGTGCTGAGTTGGGCATGTCCCAGTGACACAGTGTTGGCTGGCTCTCAGTGCCCGGGGCATCTACACGCCCTTCTACTCCATTCTTCTGTAGTGACTTGGATTTTTTTCGGAGTGGAGGTCTACTGCTAAACAGTGAAACGAAAGTCCTGCAAAGCAAATATAAACAAAGCCTCAAGCCTTTTCTAAGAAAAACACATTCTTCTAAGTATCAATATTAATCACTAATAGGTATGTTCTTTGAAATGCCTGAAACTCCTAGAAGGGGCAAAACGCACTGTATGGCCTATAGATGAGTTACTGAGAAATG